GCTGATTGGCTTTCTGCTGCCTGGGTGGCATGTATATGTATGTAAAGGTTGCATACCATCACCTTTGTTCTTTTATCCGTAGGTGAGCCATCTAGAGCTCTCGCATACTTGACATAGCCCTTCATTATGTCACCACAACTGGAATGGGACTGTAAATAGTTTATGAAAGATGGAGAGGTCGTCTGTCCCTGGTTGAGCCCACAGTTAGAAAAGGAAACTTAGGAAAGGAAAGGAAATCCTGGCCCCATTGACTTCAATGGGAGTTTTCTCATTTATTTCAGCAGGGGCCAGGATTTCACCCTTGATGTTTAATATTAGTGAGAATCAGATGTGGCTGTTATGGAGATTATGAAAGTGAGTGCTGGTGGTTGTGATAGATGGGGCTGCTTGACATTTTAGCTGGCAGATGGGGTCACTCTGCAGCACTGTTCCCTCTGTTCCTAGATCTGCTGAAGAGCATTCCATATAGCTGGGGATCCACACATGGGGCGAAGGATGGGAGTGTCACATGTATTTTCCCCCTGCCAGCCCAGGCTACGTTAGCTTCTAAGTTGAGTAGTCTCTGCCCTGTGGAGTTCATTTGATGAAGCTCCAGGAACAGTGATGGTAGAGAAGTTCCTGGCAGCTTGGCTCCAATGCCAACTACCTGTAGGGAGGTGGTAAAGGGTGAGCGGGTATCAGAAGCATAAAGCCTCCATGTGAATGGTTCTGGTCTCCACTGAAACCCCGGGGTTTATGCAGCCAAGTCCCCCTGTCCTGCAGAATAATCTAGGAAATGATCCTCAACAGAAACCTCACTGAGATTTTCTCCAGCTCGTAGTGTTGCCAACTCTAGTGACTTTACTGCAATTCCCACAATATTTGGTGATTTTCTTAAAGTCCCAGCTGCCAGAATCAGAGAATAGCTTGAAATCATGAACCTTATAGATGCCCAAGCGCCAGAAGGCAACACCCCTCCCCCCCCCAAATTATTATTTTTAAAAGTTCATTATTTTTAAATCAGTCTAATAACTTTTGGGAGCCTGATTCATGATTATTGAAAGCTTGGAGTTGGTAATATTGCCCATCTCTCTTCCCCCCTTAGGTGTTCCCTGGGAGGGGGCAATCTGATGCAAAGCACACAAAGTAACGTTATAGATATATTAGCACTGCATTATTTAGATGACCCTGCAGAAACAAAAAGGAACTGTTTTTCATTGCCACAAGAAATACTGAATACAGTTGACTTATCTGGCAAATAATGATTAAAGATACTAACAAGAAAGCTGTCCAAGAGCAATTCATTAATTAGAAGGCCTAATTATAGCCAATAGACAAGTTCCTTTGCCATAAACAAACCAATATATATTTTTGGCAGACACCATCCCCAGGGATCTGTCAGTTTTTCTGCCTACTGTACAGGCCTGTGCAGCAACCGTGAGAATGCTAAAAATAATTTGGCACCTCCCTCACAAAAGTGTGTGTGTGTGTGTGTTTCTCTACCCTAGAAATGCAGCCTCCAGCTGTCTTGACTCATGCCAGAGGTTTCTTAATACCATGAAATTAGCTGACTAAAGAAGCACGTCCTGTCTACTCAGGCTACGTAAGGGTTCCATGAAATAAACTCTAGTCTGATTTCCAGCACCCTGGGAATGTCTGCCTGCAACTAACATTCAGTATCCCAAATAACCCCAAGGTGACCCTGCTCTTTGTAAAACTGCAGCCAAGAAAAACCCTGTTTAACATAACAGTGCAAAACTTAGAACATCAACTTGAACCATGTCGACCTCTTAGCTGCTGGGGTCTATGCAGATTAATATAACAATAGGCAACCTTGAAAGGGAGGAATGTTCCAAAGAGATCTCCTTCACCCATCTCTTCTCCTTTAATAAATAGTCAGGAGGCCTGGCTTAGAAAAACTGAAAGTGCCCTTTGTTAGGAAACAATGGGAGTTACAGCAGAGAGGCAGCACACCAGTAATTTGAATCTTAGCAGAACAAAGTTACACCTCCCATAGACTGATGCTTTCATTGGAAAAATTTTGATTGAGAATTAGGGTCATTTTCTGGAAATTTAAAAAATAGACATGGTTTTGCCTTTTGTTGTCCATACATTGTTAGTATTTTATTAAATAATTAAATGACCCCCTGACCTGAGATATAGTTTCAACTGGCTTTCATGCAAGCAAACTGGCTAAAGACAAAAACTTTCCAGATGGGAGTTGGAGCTTAGACATCAGCTAATGCTTAGAGATGCCCACCACTCAGGAGAGATGCAGCAAGATAAGATCTTGAGCTACAGGGGTGCCAAAGGGAGACACTTACCTTTGCTGAAGAAGAAACTATCTTACCTTCTAACTACATTCTCCATTGTAAAAAGAACAGGAGTACTTGTGGCACCTTAGAGACTAACAAATTTATTTGAGCATAAGCTTTCGTGGGCTACATCCCACTTCTTCGGATGCATAGAATGGAACATATATTGAGGAGATATATATACACACACGTACAGAGAACATGAACAGGTGGAAGTTGTCTTACCAATTCTGAGAGGCCAATTAAATAAGAGGAAAAAAAACGTTTGAAGTGATAATCAAGATAATCTTTTATTGGACCAATTTCCGCTGGTGAGACAAATGTTTGACTGTAAACAGAGCTCCCAGACTGGAAGAAAACCTCTGTGTATGCCTTAAAGCTTGTCTCTTTCACCAAAGTTGGACCAATAAAAGACATTAGCTCACCAACCGTTTCTCTCTCTAATATTCTGGGACCAACACTGCAAACATGAAATGTATACACAGCTAGAGGAACACCTGAGTGAGCAAAGGGTAACTCATCATGTGTGCTGTCCGGAAGGCAGTCGTTGAAAAGTGGAGGGTGGATGGAAACCAGCAGGGAAAATGATAAAAAGGGATGAGAGTGGTTCAGACAGGCAAAGAATGCTGATTAACAAATGCAAATCATTTGAACACTGAGTGGGCCGGTTAGAATAACTTCAGTGCAGATCTAAGTTACACAACAATCATATTGTAAGCAGTCTCCTGACAGAAATAGCCTTGAGTCTTTTAAAACTGGAAACAGCACTCATGAGACTTGTCTTGCACCGACAGAGTGGGGGGAAGGAAATGGGTCAGTTTGCCTAATAGGTATTTTTCCAGGTGTTTTATATAACCCAGGCTGAGTGTATGCGGAGCATGGGAATTATGTGTTCACTGTTACACTGATGAATTTCTTCCATGTATTAGAAGCAAGTTTGTTTGCAGTGAAACTTGGCCATTCAGCTGTGACACTGTGATATTGTGCCTCTATTTGGACATTTGTAAGGCCCCAAGTCAGCTGCTCTTCTGCTGCTCGAGGCTTTGCCTAGACTAGAAAGATAGGAAATAGCTTTACTGCACAGTTAAGTTGGGTGATTGGCACCCCCGGGTCTTAGCATCTGCAAAGCCCCAGTTGCATTACGGCATCCTCCCCATGTGTGTCTGGATGTATGGGCTGATCCTCTGATCCACCCTGCCATAATATGCTCTTCTGTTGCTGGTCAGCTGGGTGGTAAAGAACGTCCCAATGTCTGTGACGAGCCATCAGCCCTGCAGTGTATTTTCCTTGGAGTAAAGTCCTGTCACTCAGATTTTACTTCATTTTTCCAGGATTTTGTCCCTAAAACTCTTCCACAATCCCAGCGTTGTGGGTAAAGTGCAAATTTCCAAGTCTATACCTGTTTTTTTTTTTTTAAAGTCTATTACTGTCCTTGAGCTGTATATTTAGTGGCTTGTCCCATCAGTTCTATCTTTTAGAAATAGGCTAACTCTTGGCATCCCATCTTGGCATACAAAAATCCACTCTGTTCTTTCCACTAATACTACAGAATGTGTCGTACAGGGGATGTGAAAAAGACAGTTGTTTTACATATAAAAAACCTGATATTCTGCTGGACTACACTGGTTTTAAAGCCATTGGGCCAGATCAGATGGTGCAATGAAGCAACACCAATTTACACCAGCTGAGGAAAATTTCAGTAGAGATACATCAGTGTAAAACCGGTGCAACATTAGATAATCAGGCTATAGAAGTAGTAGTATAAGCATGAGATGACACAGCTGAAATAGACACACTACACTGTGCTCGATATTATTCTTTGACAAATAAAATTTGTCCTTCAAAATACAAATGGGCCGCCAGCATATTGCTACATGCAGCATATTTCTGTTTGTGTGGGAGTAGTGGGCCTAATTCTTCTCTCACTTGCGCTGGCTTTCCTCCAGTGTAACGCCATTGACTTCACATGAGTTATTTCTGATTTATACCCGTGTGAGAGAAGAATTGGGCTCAAAGTCTGCAGTAAGACCCATCCATATTTGAAATTCATGCTGAGGTTACACAGTTATCCACAGCACAGCCTGAGGCTAATATGTTGCTGAATAGTTTGTAGAACAACTTGCAGCCGGTGTGTACATCCACTTGCATAATTTAACCATATAAAAATGGAGGTATCCCATGTAAATGAATAAGGCCCCCATTCCAGCCTGCCTATGAGCCTCCCCTCACTAGCCCCTTGCACAGCAAGGCTCTGTACCATGCAGAGGCTCTGTGCACTGCCTAGATAATTCCTTGACCTTTATACTGAAGAATCATAGTGGTTCGACTGCAGAGGGCCTTCCATGGCCATAGAGGAGGGAGCTGGACTTTCTCCATAATGCACATCAATTTTGTTTTTAATCAAGTTGGTGTATTGGGTACAGCAGAAGCCGACAGGTAAATTATCTCCTTCAGGGCAGGTTCCAATGTTGCTCTATAAACTGGCCACCAGAGACTGCTTCTGTAGCCAGCAGTTGTCACCATGCGGATGGAGCCAAAATGTGTTACCTATATGGTGTCCCTGAGCGCCTATGTTTGTTTCTTCCCCTGAGACTCTCACGCTGCTGTGTATGCACTGAGCCTACTCCTCCCAGAACTTTTAAATATACTTCTACGTTTTCTTTGTTTTCAGAACAGCTCTTGATTAATATTTGATATTCTTTTCAGGTTTCATTCCCCTTCACCAATACTTCAAGGCACAGAGGAGTTGGTACAGGCATTGCCATGAAACCTAACTTGAAGCAATGGAAACAACTAATGCTGTTTGGGCTATTTGCATGGGGTCTCCTTTTCTTGGTGATCTTCATCTATTTTACAGATAGCAACACTGCTGAACCAGTTCCAAGTTCCTTCTCTTACATTGAGACGAAGAGGCTCCTGCCCATTCAGGGCAAGCAGAGAGTTATTATGGGAGCAATACATGATCCATCATCCTCTGAAACCATAGATAGGAACGAGGTGCTTCTTAACGAAGATCTCTTAGATTCATTTAAATCGGGGACCGGAAGCATTAAAAAGTGGATTGATCTAGAGGATGGCTTTGAAAATGAAGAAGAGTTTTTTCCTTCCCAGGTAGGGAGAAAATCAAAATATGCTTTCTATCAAGGGGATGACAACTATTTATTTGCTGCTGGCCAGCCTCAGCAACACAGCAACATTCAAGAGCTAGTGAAATTCATCTCTCCCAATGAGGATGATCAGAAGGAAAATGTTTTACAGGAAAAATGGACCCATGAGAAAAGAACAAAGAAAAGAAACCCAACACGCAGGAGAAGCCAGCTGTTTGATGAGTCTGATGATTGGGATGGGTTATATTCCACAATGTCAAAATCCTTCCTTTATAGGCTTTGGAAAGGGGATATCTCCTCCAAGATGCTGAACCCTCGCCTGCAGAAAGCTATGAAAGACTATCTGAACACCAACAAGCATGGGGTGCGGTTCAAAGGGAAACGACGAAACTCCAGACTGACAGGAGATCAGCTCATCTGTGAGCTCAAGGACAGGGTGCATGTGAAAACAATAGATGGCAAGGAGGACCCCTTTTCAGCTCTTGGATGGGAAAAGCACGTTCCTCAAATTCCACTGGGCAAACTGTATCCACATGGCTTCGGAAGCTGTGCCGTAGTTATGTCTGCTGGTGCAATACTGAACTCTTCTCTAGGGGATGAAATAGGTGGGTGAAAATGCATCTCACTCATAAGTGTGTGTGTGTTCATCTATCAAAGGGTCCATCCTTTTTCAGGGATAAGCCTGATGATCCTTATTCTTCTCTCTCCCCAGCTTTACATCCGTATAACTCCATAGACTTCAGTGGAGTACTCCTGTATGACACCAGTATAACTGAGAGAAAATCAGGCCCATGGTAGTCATTCATTTTAAGAGGGTGACGTCCTTTTATTTATTTTATTATGGTTTGGGGCACAAAGAATGCATTGAGTTTAATAGAACCATGACAGTTTTACATATTGGTGTGATGCATGTTTACTTCCTTAACAGGTTAGTTTTATTCTCAGGCTTTCATTTTTAAAATCTTCATTGTATTTCTGTCTATACATTAGTACAGTGTAAGGAAAAGCTTTTGTTTTGTTTGTTGTCTTAGGATTTCTTTACTGATGTGACACAATCATAGTATGTTAAAAGGATCAAGAGAAGGAAGAAATATATGCATCAAATTCCCTCCATTTGCTTCTGGAGCACCAAGAATTATCTCTCCCAACTTTCCGTAGAAATCTTTGGATGTACACTAGTAATTCCTCCCATCATCCAGGATTTCTCATCTTCATACCTGCTTCATCTTACTGCTCTGTCTCTTTGCCACGGGTTTCCCTTAAATCTCTGTGATCTATTAGAACCGCTGTCATTATCAAACTACTCTAATGGGCTTCCAGCACAGCACAAGTGCCCTGCCAGCCTGCAGCTAAAATCAAAACTGAGTAACCCCCAATTTCATGAGAAGTCCCACTGATTTAGAAACCTCTGAGGTGAAGTAGCTCAACAATTCCTTCCTCCCACTGTGTGCTGTCACTGAAATGAAGCAAAATCCTTTAGTGTCAGAGTCTCAAACCAGCACAGGTATTTTCGGTGTGGTGTTGGGTGGTCACCCTGGCATTGTGGTGCCTTCAGTGCCCATTTGACTCCATGGCACTAAGCTTTCCCTCATAACAATTCTGGTCATGGCAGTCTCATGCCATTCACTCTGTATTCTTGTGGAGCCTTTAGTTTAATTGGGAATGTTCACCTGATGTGTCTCTCCTGAATGGAAGAGTCCCAGTAAAAGTTACAGGTTTGAAATGCCACCATTAATAAGGCCTTCGTCAAATATTTCAAACCCCTCCATCGGAAAAGCCTGTGGGAAAGGAACAGGGAAACGAAAATTAAGGTTTCTCTCAGAAGCCCCCTCCAGAACTTTCTGTCAGGCAGTCAGGGCTTAGCGGAGTGCTTGGTCACAGAACCTGTACATCTTTGGGGATCTGATGAATGCTAGAGCCACCCATGCAAGGCCCCTGTTCTGCTGCACCGGCTCTAATGCCCACTCCAGCTATTTGGAAATGCTCCATTGGAGTCAGGGTGTGGGATATAGCACGCTGCACACATAGCGTGTGGTGGAACAGTGATGCTGGCCCTGCCATCAGCTTTTCTGCCCCCAAGCTTCTCCTTCCCCAGGCACAGATTTTCAGTCCTGAAGAGAGACCAACTAGAAAGGAAGAGATCTTCTGATGGAAGAACATGGGGTGCAGCTCCAGGTTGCAAGCGCCTTCTCGTAGTTTGTGATACGCATATCAGGGTTGTAACTAGATATCTTTCCAGAAGCAAAAAATTGATAAAAGAGGATCACAGGGACTTTTTATTAGTAGCCCTTTAGCTCCCTCTTCTGTGTTCCTATTAGAAATGCTGTCACAGACTTTAATTTGCTCTTCGCTTTTTGGACTCTCGTCATAGCTGTTTTTGAAAGAAAATAGATGTTGCAACTGTAAACACTTTAATTGTAGATCATGTTATTTAATGGCAAGCACAACTGTTTTGGCAGCATCACATTCTGTTGTGAAGTCATGTGGAGGTTTTATTTTCCCCTTAACATGTGAACAGTAATCCGTCATTTTATAGCTTTATCCTGGATACCTCAAAATACTTCACAAGGTTTAAAATCACTCTTCTTAAAAGCAGCTAATACAAGTGTTAAACTGCACCCCAGTTTACTTTTCTTTTAAAAGAAAAGGTTTTTACACGTGATATAAAAGCCAGCACTAATAGATGTGGGAAGTTTTAAGACGCTGTGCTAAATTGTGTTAACAAACACACACTGAACTATATAACTCCCCTTGGTCACAAGATTGTGGTCAAAACGTTCAAACCTGGACACCTAAAGTTAGGGTCCTAAAATCCCATATTTAGGCACCTAAATGTAAGGGGCTTAATTTTCAGAGGTGCTGAGCCTGCAGCTCCCATTGACGCTTCTGGGGAAAAAAATCAGGCCACTCATGTTTGGGTGGAAGGAGCCAAAATCTTTAGAGCCAGAATATGTGAGGCCATTGCATGGTGCACAGAGATGTACAAGACGCCTCCCCTCCCTGCTTGGTACCAGAAGGAGCTGGGGTGCTCAGCACCTTGCAGATTCGGGCCCGTACGGCTCAGTCCCGAATCTCACATTTCCCACAAGTAGTTCCGTTGACCTCAGAGTTGGGATGTGTTGATCTTCAGGTCGCACTGCACTGCAGTAGCTCTCCACTATTTTTCCAGGCCGAGGGCCTGGGTGAAGAGGGGAGAGTTAATTTGGGTGGGACCAGCGTAGTATGCAAAGTGAATGCTGGGCTCCATGTGGAATGATTTTGTAGCTGTGCCCAGAGCTATGGATGGGTGCATTTTAAATATAGTTACATTAATAACTGTTATAGTAACTCATTGTACTCATCAGTTAAACCATCACATGAGATGAGGTGGGTAGCATGCTTTGGCCTAGATGATCCCCTCTCTCTCCATATGCAGAAGGGAGAAAACTTGTGTAGATCCCAGGGCCAGGTGTGAAAGCAGGAGAATACTGTCTGTAGTGGGGGTGCCATTCTCACTGACCCCCTTTCTCATCATTCCTCTGCACCCCCTTCCAACCTCTTCTGAAATCTACATAAGCAGTAGGGAATGCTCACAAAGACAATACTGATGGAAGCTTCAATCCAGCAAAGTGCTTAAGCTGAAGTCAATAGGATTTAAGCATGTGCTTAAAGATAAGCATATGGTTGACCACTTTGCTGAATTGGGGCCAAAGTCAGTTGTCTGTTATACAGCGCTCCTCTTCCTAATTGCACAACTCCAGTTTCTGGGAAAGCCCTAGCAGTGCAGCTCTATTGGAGCCCAGCTGCCGGGAAGCCAGAGAGGGCCCTAAAGTTGCTGTGGAGGAATAGAGCCTGTGTGCTGACAGCTCTGCCCACCCACAGATTCCACAAGAGCTGCACTGATTTTGGGAATGAGGTTGGATTTGCAGGTTTGGGGGACAGAGTTCTGCTTTATAAAATATAAGCCTATTATAGACCTCTGTATCTAAGCAGTGATGATCATTACATAGCTGCATACTGACCTAGTTTAATGCATCTTTGCATGAATTATTTGTTTTAATATACTGCAGTAGAAATAATATGCAAAATTGTGTGGACTAATAAACTTTCCATTCTAATTTTATCCAAATGGGGTAAATCTGTATACATTGCAAGAGACAAGGTGGGTGAGGTATGATATGGCTGCAACTACACTGCATATGCATTGCAAGTTGAATTAGTATTGGATTGTTCTGCATTTTTCCAGTGGATTTGAACAATTGTTGTAACATATGGCAGATAAAGAGGATTTGGGCTTTGCCTCATGGTAGAATATTTATCCTCTGAATACAGTACCAGGATTAGGAAAATTTACAAATCCATTTTCCTTGAAATTAGATTGTTTTATCTTACCAAGAAATATATAAATGTAGCCCTTTTGTGCCCTTAGATTCTCATGATGCAGTTCTGAGATTTAATTCTGCTCCTACACGTGGCTATGAAAAAGATGTTGGAAATAAAACGACCATGCGCATCATTAACTCCCAGGTCAGAATCTTTTGTGAACTCATGTGTTTATTATTTCTATACAATATAACATTGCTTAATTAACATCTTAGAAATCAAACATTTTAAGGACAAAGATGGTTGGATAATCTGGTGAGCAACTAGTGATTCACACCAATGACATAACCATGATGTAGAACTGATGAAACATTCAGGGTCAGTTCTCCCCTTCAGGGTTTTCTTGCATAGTGGCAGGAAACTTGAGGAGTCTGGAATCACAGAGTTCCTCTGAGACAAAGGTCTGGTCTATACTACCCGCCTGAATCGGCGGGTAGAAATCGACCTCTCGGGGATCGATTTATCGCGTCCCGTCAGGACGCGACAATCGATCCCCGAATCGGCGCTCTAACTCCACCAGGGGAGGTGGTAGTAAGCGCCGCCGACAAAAAGCCGCAGAAGTCGATTTTGCCGCCGTCCTCACAACGGGGTAAGTCGGCTGTGATACGTCGAATTCAGCTACGCTATTCACGTAGCTGAATTTGCGTATCTTAAATCGACTCCCCCTTGTAGTGTAGATGTAGCCAAAGATATCAAGGATGGGTTTGCAAAGTTTTGGAGGAAGTCTGCAGATCTCAAGGTATCTGCTTAAGGCCAGAGTCATCACTGCAGAGGATTTGTGCGTCCATACTGCTTCTGGGTCCCCGTGATCCGGTAGGAGCATGGCTACTGGAACTCTCCTATCTTCCATTACAACCCCCCACCCCACCTTTTCCTGGGAGCTAGCTGTCTTGGAGCATGACCTAGGTAGGCCAAGTCACTCCACCTCTTTGTAAGTCCAGTTGGAAATGTATACAAGATACAGAAACCTCAGTGAAAACTAGACGATGTGTCTGAGCTGAACTTCCTCAACTAACCAGAAAAAAGTTTTCTTCCACAGATGTTAACGTTTGTTGAGCTGTAGTGACATCTTGTGGTTGATATATTTTTTTCAATTTTCAAAAACTGCTAAAACTGATTTCCTAAGCTCTGGCCTTGGACAAACCACTTCATTTTCTTCTTTCAGTTTCCCCATCTGGGGATTGTGAGGATTTAATTAGTTCATGCCCTTACAGTGTTTTGAACGTAAAACATGCTATATAAATTCTAATTATTATTGTTGCATTTTCAAAATTGTGTCATAGCAGACCTTGCATGACTCAATTTAGTAGCATTATTGTTAAATTGTTCCTTTTCTTAACTATTTGTTTTTGGCAGTGCCCCCAATGTGATATGTGCTGAGCAAACTTAAAAGAAGATATGATCTCTGCCTTAATAAGCTTATACTCTGAAGACAAGAGCTCACATTATTTTAAAAAAACACTGCCCACAGAAATGGGAGGTTAGGGATACTGTGGTGGTTTGGACTGCTTCTTCTGGTGTTGTAGAAAGCTGATGAAAAGTCACCTAAGCTCAAAGTTTGTGGTAGGGAAAATACTGCTATGGCAACAAAATTATTTTTCTCAAGGAAATATGGCTCATTGAAATCTAAAGGGAAATGACAATTAGTTTTGAATTCATTTCTCTGGAATGCAGATTAATAAAACAGCTGGAGCCAAATTAATGCTGTTTTTAATCACTGTTGAAATCATTCTTCCCAATCCTCCCTGGGTTTGGATGACCCAGGGATCAGCAAGATCTGGTTAGGAGCCAAAGGAATAGCAGCTCAGGGAAAGGATGGGCCAGGAGGAATGAAAGGAAAGCCACAGTGGGCTAGAAGGATTAGGGAGAAGATATATTGGAGAGAAACAGAAGGGCAATTGACAGCAGTGGTTCTGAGTTGTATTTCTGCTATTGCAAAAATGGAATTATTTTGCTCCTATCGAAGCAGATGGGTCTTTTACTCTGAAGGGTTTAATTTTCCGTTTTGGAACTACTTTCATTGAGGGATCTCTTTTATTTAAGCTAAAAACAACAGAACACCAAAGTAGGATCCTGGAGTCACAGCCCTCCTGTGAAAGTTGCTGGCTTCCCAAGAAAAGGTTCCGATATGCAGTTTGGGCTAGTAATACTTTAATTTTAAATTTCCAAAATACATAGCTGTGTCCACATACAACTGGTGGGCTTCTGGGTGGACCCATAACATGTTCCTTACTGGTGATCTACTGTGGACACAGTTGTAATTCAGTGAACTGAATCTTCACACAAGCATGAGTGCTGCTTATGGTTAAACTCTTAACATGTCAAATTGATAAAAGTTCACTGAAGGTTCAAGTAACACAAGTGGCTGAGGGAAGCTTTTATTTCAGAGAGGAACTCCTGACTATTTTCTGGACACACACCAGCTGTACAGATGCTATGTGTGTCCACAGGGCCACCAGATAACCAGGAGCATCTGAAGCTGTGGAGGGGGATGAGAAGCCCTTGGGGAAGTTGATTATTCTTTTTGTACTTCCATTGGGCTCAGGTCTTTTTACGTGTTTAAAAAACCCCTTGCATTTAGCCTTAGCAAGAAAAGGTTGATGATAACCCCCCTTTTTCCCCACTCCCCCACCATTTTTGTTGGCTTGTTGAGCATCCAACAAAAGCATGGATGTGTATCTGTGTTGCCACTGATGTGCCATGTTTCAAAAAGCTTGATGTTCATAGAGTTCCTGGACTTTACTCTGGTACACATTTGCATTTACTAGTGCTATTCTTTTGCATGTTCTTTATAGAGAGAGGATTCACGTTGCTCAGGTTTCATTGAAAACATTTGTGTGTGTTTGTGTTTGTTTGCAGATTCTCACCAATCCAAACCATCACTTCATTGACAGCTCATTATATAAAGATGTTATTTTAGTGGCCTGGGATCCTGCTCCTTACTCTGCAAATCTGAATGTGGTAAGTCCTCAGTTTGCTCATTTCCTCCCAACCAGCTGAAAACAGTGGACAAAGTTACCTGCAATGAATAGTTTGATTCTACAGCCCATAGCTACCAGTCAGTTCAATGATCTCAAGATTTTAATGTGGTAGTTGTAAGTACGGCACACCATTTCCATATGGAGATATATATTCACTGGGCAAAGTCTTTTGAATGGCCCTCACTTCTACCTGAGCAGACTACTTATTTTAAGAGATACTGAGGGCAGATGGATTGGTAGGAAGTTGGGGGGAGGTCTTACTGTTTTGTGTATTTAAAAATGAGAGTTAGATAATAAATATGGGAGAAATTGCTGTGTGGGGCAGGTAGAGAAAGTGCTGGATTTTTGTGGAGGGGCATGAGCGAAGGTAGATAATCACATCCATATTTTCCATTTTCCCCTATGTCCCACCACAAAAATCCTACACTTAAATAAAAATACATAATACTCTTCCCTAGTCTCTTCCAAATCCACTGACCCTCAAACACACCACCATATATATTTATTCACAAGTCCCCAGGCTTCCAAATTAATTTGCTGGTGCCCTCCTCCCCCAAGCCCCTTTGTTTCCAGTCACCATCACCCGCCCTCATAAAAATCCATCTTGCAGTCACTTGGAGGGGCTCTGTGGAAAAGGAGGCTATTCGCAGTGGGAGCCCAGGGAAGCAATAGCGCTGAGCACTCTGCAGCTGCAGATAAGTGTGCCTGTTTCATCAGGTGACCCCCCCCTTTAGTGCAGCTGACAGAGCGCTTTCTGCCTCCTCCAGGAGCTGCTGCAGCTGGTGGTGTTTTGGAATGAAATTCACCCCAGTGCCAATGTCCTGCACTAAGCCTATTTAACCCCTAATTAATTATAACATGGGTCTGTGAATGGTGCATAGGCCTTGTGTTGGTTCTGTGCACTGGAGTGAATTGCATATTGGGAGCACACGCATGTAGGAGGGAACAGAGCAGCCCAAGTTCGGGACTGGCTCACTAAGAAAATGTCCAGCAACCCAGGCCGGCTTGCTGCCTATGCTTTCGTACTTCAGTGCCAACACAGAGCTGCTGGGGTTGTATTTTATATACTGTTTAGTGTGTATTGAGCAGCACCCTAGGACTGATCCATTTCTCACTTTTGGTTGTTTTCCCTCCACCCCCCAGTGGTATAAGAAGCCAGACTATAACCTGTTCACACCTTACGTGCAGCATCGCAGGAGGAATCCAAACCAGCCATTTTACATTCTCCATCCCAAGTTTATATGGCAGCTCTGGGACATCATTCAGGAGAACACTAAAGAGAAGATACAGCCCAACCCACCTTCATCAGGTTTCATTGGTAGGTGTATCTAGCAATGCCCTAAAAGACATGTTATCTAAATAATGGTTAAATAGATACACCCCTCATAATCAGGCCTATTTTCATGCATTATTTATTGTGCTAGTGTAGTGACAATGACCATTTAAAATACACAGCATGGGAAACGTAGTACAAAATAACAGAGTGACTTACCGTGAATGTTATGGATTCTTGACCCTTAAATCAATTGTTTACGAAATGCTGAAGTGCACGGACTTTTGCAGTGAGATATACGGGGAGTTTGTATGAAACAAAACTATTACTTTTACTTACCGCTAAAATCCACCACAAGTTATAGATACAATGAAATTGCTGTTGTGCTATTACTGTCCGTTGTAAAGTTTTAAAATCTTTAACCAACCAGTCAAGCCGCATGCTGCTTCCACAACCGACAGGGGAGGAGGAGTCTTCCTGCCCAGGCAGGGCTGCATAGTACTGTTCCAGCCTCAGAGCAGCTAGCACATGTCACCCTCCCTTTACAGTAGTAGGGACAGAATTCCAACTCCGTTTCTTGGCCCTTCCATAATATTTCCCTGAAGAAGGGATGACTTGGCCCGGAGGTCACATTTCCTGTTGTGTGACTGTCGATGCCTGGTAGATGCTTATCACTAACATGTAGGGATACATGTGAGCAACGCATTATGAAGTCTCAAGATCTTACTGGATTCATCACTACTAGTGGATACACAGGTAGCAACAGTGCAACAAGGGCTGCCTTCCACCTCTGGTTTGAGACTTTACCCTTCCCCCCTCGGATGAGGATCTAACCATAGTGGTCCATGTGTTTATCACAGTCAGAAAATACCGAGGTAACTCACAAAGATTACTGGATACTTGAGCTAGAACAACAAGCAGGAAAAGCCGTGTCTCCCCAGTGCTCTGCATCCTCTGGAATCCAATGGGAAGCTACCAGAGCCAATTCAAGGTCTTAGTGAAAGTTTTTAGGCTTTCAGTGGGATAGGATCCAGCTGCATCAGATCACCTGTCCAGTCATGATCCACCAGAAGAGCAGTGTTCATCAGGAATGTTGAAGCTGCCAGTTCCCAGCGTTAGATTTTTGGAAGCTGGAGCCAAAGAATTCTGGGAATGATATCAGGGCATTGCTCAAAGCTCACCGTTCAGCAAAATCTGTCCTAGAATAATGAAAACGTTTTAATAAAATAAAATAAAATAAATAACAGCTGCTGAACCTGGGAATGGTGAAGAGGAAGAGTCCAGTTGTCAATCCAGAATCTGTCTTTAGGAATGCTGAAAAAACTTCCTCCCTGAAAAGACCTTTGCCCTGTAAGAAAGACAACACGGAGACATTTTCCATGACAGGCTAAACTGTTGTGGAAAACTTCAGCCAAAACTGTTAGGCTATTTCTGAGAACAAGGCTAGCAGAAAATACTTTTTTTTTTTTTTTTTTTACATTAAAAAAGTTCCATCTTGTAAAGTCCTCCCCCCCCCCACAACCTTCCTCCACAAAACAACAAAAGCCCCAAAAAACCCAAATCAGAAATGCACTCGGAAACAAATCAGCCTTAAAAAAACCCCACACCACCATCTTTACCTCAAAAAGGGAGATGCGCCAGACTCCATTAACTAGGGACATTGCTTTTGCTGTTGCTATTACACGGAGGGCATTCTGGACAGCAGTATAAAATGCTAAGATAGATCATTGGACAAACCGACTGTGAGCCTTAATTGCCTTATTTGGCATCTAGCTACTATTGCGTTAGGTGCATTTGAAGGCTCGTCAGAATCGATATTTCACATTTAAGAGCATATTGAATATATATCTGTACAGCGCACATGTAATGTAGTTTAAACTGAAAGAGCATACTACAGCAACTGTATTGTCAGAGGTAGACGTAAATGATAGGATAATGCATAAATAATGTAATTCAATTTGGCAGAAATTTGATGGGACATGTTAGTGTTCAGATTGGATATCTATCAGCAATTCAAGTGGCAAATATCTGTTTGGAACTGAAGCTGACAGACACAAATGAGAGGGACTGTATGATAGCCATGTAATCGAAATTGCATGGTACTGCTTGTTTGTTTGCTAATCTAAAAAATTAGCATATTTAGGGATGAATATCCCTAGCAAATATAATTCAGGTTGAATAGAGGGGCTAGATAAATGAAAGTTGTCATAAAAAATAACAGTAACTTATTTTAAAGATGATATCTAGGAAATGATTAGCATGAAAACATCAAATTAAGAAAGATCCTGTTGTTTATAGTAGCCTAAAATGCACATATGAATTTCCACAGGTAGAGGGACCTATTTCCTTTTAATCTAAGTCTGCACTTATAACTTGAACCAAAATAAGCATGCATAAAATCAGTTTATTAGAATGATTTTTTCTAAATCAAGATTTGCAGCCCTACAATTAAAACAGATGCATAGCCCTTGTCACTTATATATTCTCCTAAAGGGACAGATTTTGTCATCCATACTCACATTGTGTAGTATGTTACTCATCGTAGTCCTATTGAAGTCCTTGGGATTACTTCTGGAGCAAAGTACTGCTTAACATGGTTATAAGAATCTGTACCCAACTAAACAAAGGAATGGGGGAATGTCACTCTCCTGTTTAACACACATGTTCTGGATATTCTCCCATTGCGGATGATTCACCAAGTTTCCAGCTACTTATTGTATACTGAGAAAGGGGCGTACAACTGAAAATAGTTTGGGAATGCGGAGAGAGAGATTCCAGCTGACCACGCTGTACAGAAGGATAGATCCACCCACATATTGTTAAGGTCGCTAAGTGGCCCTTTTGCCAGCTGAGCTCTCCGCGCTTGAAAACCTTCCTAGCACAATAGTCAGGATAGCAAATCTTTAGAGACGTTACTAGTGAGATGATAACTTGCTCTGTATTGTCCATATTTCATACGTTGCAAAGAGTGCATACTCTGAGCCCAGACCTGAGTAAAAGTACATCCATGGTATGGAGCCCTCAGGAGCTCTGCAGCCTTCCTGGTACCACCGCCTAGTATTAAGGTTGCCCACCACTTCCCATAATAAAGCTCTGTTTTCAGATGCTGATAACTTTGCTAAATTTAAACAATCTGGGCTGCAATTTTCCATGACAGGCTAAATTGTTTTAGAACACTTCAGCCAAAACTGTTCAGCTATTTCTGACAACAAGGCTAGGAGAAAATACTTTCCTTTTTTTACATTAAACAAAAATTCTGGTGACCTTTCCTTTGGAAATGCTCTAGCACTCCCACGTTGTGGAGCGGGGATTTGAAATTTGGCAGAGGAGTGGCCTTTGTGTGAGGGCTTTACTGTCCTCATGAAAATCTGCCCAAACTTGGCCAGGTTATAAACCTTTGAAAAAAATCACAGTTTGCACATGCTCAGCAGAGACTTTCTAGAACTTAACAGTTAATATCACCAAAGATTCTGTCCTCACTGAGCGTGTTCTAGCCTCTCACAGCTCCCAGTGCTGACCAGACTGTGCATGCCACATCCCAGGGGTACTGGGCTGAAGTCAGATTTTAACTGTAAATGGCTACTTTTAGCTTTTCTGGGCAGGGTGCGGCTGGGCACTGGAATGGAGAGCAAGAAGCTTGCATCTCTTGGGCTCTCAGTGACCCCCCCGCTGACACCCAGGCAGTGTAGAGCAGTGGTTCTCAAAGCCAGTCCACCGCTTGTTCAGGGAAAGCCCCTGGCGGGCCGGGCCGGTTTGTTTACCTGCCATGTCCGCAGGTTCAGCCGATCGCAGCTCCCACTGGCTGCGGTTCGCTGCTCCAGGCCAATGGGAGCTGCTGGAAGTGGCGGCCAGCACATCCCTCGGCCCGTGCTGCTTCCCGCAGCCCCCATTGGCCTGGAGCGGCGAACTGCGGCCAGTGGGAGCCGCGATCGGCCGAACCTGCAGACGCGGCAGGTAAACAAACCGGCCCGGCCCGCCAGGGGCTTTCCCTGAACAAGGGGCGGTTTTGAGAACCACTGGTGTAGAGGAGGAAGCCATCTGATTCAAATGCAGATGGGACAAAAACCAGACCTAGAGCATTGTGGGGGAGGACTTGGCGAGTAGGGAAAAGGAGCCTGGGGGTAGAGACTGGGACTGGCTGGGCAAGGACAGGGCCGCCCAGAGGATTCAGGGGGCCTGGGGCAAAGCAATTTCAGGGGCCCCTTCCATAAAAAAAAAGTTGCAATACTATAGAATACTATATTCTCATGGGGGCCCCTGTGAGGACCGGGGCCTGGGGCAAATTGCCCCACTTGCGGCCCCCCCCTTCCCCCCTGGGTAAGGAGGCTAGGTCTGGAGCCAGGGAAGGACACAAGGAGTGTTGGAGAAACTGAAATTGAATTTGGAGCTAAGGGGTCGACTAGGGCAGTGGGCGACGAAGTGGCTGGGAGGAGAGGAGACAGATTTTAAACAGAGCCTGGGTGTAGGGGGAGAACTGGGGTGGTTATACAAAAACTGGGTCAAGGAGCTCAGTGAGTTGAAGGCATTGAGATTGGATGAGAAGCCAGGGGGACAGGGAATGTGGGGGCAGGAGGAAGGTAGCTGGAGGCTGAGAGAGAGCTTGGGGAGTGGCGGAGGGAAGAGGGATTTGCTGGGGCAGGAGAGGGGTGAAACTGGGACTGGGATCAGAAGCTAGAATAGCTGAGACTGGAATTGGGTAAGTGAGGAGAATGGGTTTGGGAAGAAGAGTCAGTGTTGGGATAAATGCAGGACTAGGACAGGCACAGTTTGGAGGGGATGAGTCAGAAGGAGAATGGACAGAGTCAAAGCCTGCTAGTGAACACTCCCCTCCAGAGGCTGTAATGGAACCCAAGATTCCTGTATTGTCAGCAAATATCTGTGAAACTCACTGGCAAGTAGCCCATCCTGCTCTAGTGCTGGTCCACATAGATGACAATAACCTACTATTGCTATCATTTACTCTGTGAACTCAAATGGCAGAGGTCTGTGTGATGGATCTAAAGGTTCCAACTCTGCTGATGAGCATGTGGGTGTGGATATGATGT